CGACACCCATATGGGTCAGCTCTCCAAGACGGGAGGATAAACTTTACACTCCGAATATCCAGACATGGATGAGCCTGGCTGCCCTAGTATAACTAGATGCACGATGGCTTGCGCCGGGATTCCTAGAAGTAGCCACAATGGTCTTTTTCAAGGCTTAGCTAACTGAAGGATTTTGGGTCTCTTGGCTTAACCCGTAGGGAACTGGGCCCTAGAGACGGAGATGGCACATTACGCAGTACATCCGATGGACGGCTGCCCTGGAATCCTAAAGCTGCTACCGAGTGCACTAAGGTAGCCTACGGATTCCGGAAGACTGCCTACGGCTTGCCCTTCGAGCAATAAAGCCGCGCTAGACTTATACAACCGCACATTCTTGTGAAAGGTTAAACAAGCTAGCGCGCATATACGAAGTTTTATCCACTGCCGACATGCTACGTAGTCGATAAGGTTCACCTCTGCCAAGCGCGAAACAACCTACACCAAGTCCTAAAGTGTTGTGATACTTGCTACGCAACCTACGACATTGAAGAAAGTCAAGGTTAACAGCCTAGTGGTTACGCGGACTTGTCTTCTTCTGTAAGTAAGGCATCCGGCTGCCAACCCTATGGCTAACAACTTTGCAAAGTTCTACACCAACACCTATGGCTGCATAGGCTACGCGAGCTTGTCTGCTTATAAAAAAGTAGCATGCCTGCCACTGGTCTATCAAGTCTAAAGGTTAGGGCATGAACAAAAGAAGTGAAGATGAAGAAAAACGAAGGAAAACATGTTTATAAACAACTAGCAAAGGCCGAAGGAGTTCAAGCAAAACAAGAGCTACAAGGAAAAACAAAGAAAATCCTAAAGGCTACCTAAAATACTACAATACAGCAGCTTGGACATCCCACGACTACTCGGTCGCCACACCTTCAACAGCCGTAACACTCTTAGCAACGGCATCATCCGGCGCTTCACCCCCGGCTGCCCCAGTCTGGGCACTAACTTCTCCAACTACTTCACCAATGGAAGCCTTAAAAGTAAAAGCAAGCAAGTCTTTCGGAGAAATAGAGAAGGTCTTAAAACCTCAAGCCCATCATTCTCACCCTTCAGCTGCTCATTCTTCTTAAGCAGACTAACACAGACACGCTGCAGCTCATCCACTCCCTTCTTAGCATAAGCAGCGAAACGAAGCTCAGAAATTGCAAGCTTAAGATCTTGAATCTGAGGCGAATCAATCTCAGCAGCAAAGGGAGTAGGCTTTGGCGCCACTTTAGCAGCAGAGTCCACCTTACCACTCTTCATAATAGCAAGTCTCTACAAAGGTGAATCGGACTTAGCTCCCAAAGAACGTCCTGGTACAGACTTCGGCACTGGGGGCATGATAAAACCTTTACGCTGAGCAATCTTATCCACAATTGTACTAGCCATTCTCAACATGGAAGACGCCACATGCTCAGATCTAGCAGCCTTATTTTTCTTCCCATTAGAAGAAGTCATGTCAATCACATACCTCTCGGTAGCAAGCGGACCCTCATGAGCAGCAGAAGAAGTCTTCAGTTTTTTCTTAACTAGGCATCTCATGAGCAGGCGGGGAAGATCTCTTCTTTCCATCTTCATTCATAGTAAGCTCCACGACAGCGATCAGACGAGCCAATGCATCCGCCTTGATCCTCTTTACCTCATCTTTCTGGAGCAGCCCACCTTTCTTTCAGCAAAGAAGACTAAGCAGCCAACGACATTCATGGTACTCAGCAGGGGAGCTCAACCCAGCATTCCAGCAGGCAGAAGGCCTGCATGCCCAACATTCCAGCAACCCATGAGACCCGCAATCTCCTTATTTCTCTCAATCGCCAGCCTGGCCCGAGTCAGGTCCAAGAGCTCAAAGGACATGAGCCATGCGGCTCGCCTAACACTGTGCCCTAGCGCCACAATCCTCGACCCCAGCTGCACAAGCTGCCCTTGGCTCAAGCCAAGCCAAGCTGCCCAAGCAGTGGTCCCTGCCACGACATCTCCTCAGCTCATGCCGAGCCAGCTCCTGGCCCCTGCCAGCCGACGTGCCGCACCACCCCGACGGCTACCCCGCAATAGCACTATCCAAGAATAAGGCAAGAAAAATTAAATTTTTCTTACATTGGTGTGGCACGAAGAAGACGAAGAAAGCAACGAAAGACGGTCCTTTGCACAGGCAAGATGTAGAAGATTGCTAGAGGAGGGGGAACAAATATCCTCTAAGCTATCTCTCTCTTGTAAGGTAGAATAAATCGCTCCAAAGTTGATTTAATAACCCACTTAAGGTGGACTTAAATAGGCTTTGAGAGAAATTTATTTCCTTTTCCTAGAAGGATCTAATTTCCATTTAAAGAGAGAATCAACATCAAAATAGGAAGCAGTCCTAAGTTTCCTAAAGCAAGAAAATCTCTACACCTACCGCCCTTTTCTGCGAGCAGCCCAACAGGTGTGGGCGCATTTGTGGAGCCAAAAATATTCACAAGGCGACACGTGGGTTTTTTGGACAAAAAGGAAAAAAATACCCTTGCAGTACAATGAGGTTCCTACGCGCAAGCAGCGGGCAACCCTCTTTCAACCAAGACAGAAGTGCCCAAAATAGGTAACAATTCAAAGTCCATCTCATCAAATCCTTTCTACAAGGTAATTCCCAAACACATTCCTTTTAAATTATGTTAATTGGCTAATTAATGGGTTTATTGCCTAATTAACCCATTAATTCTCAATTAAACCATCCATTATATCCAAATAACCACAAAATACAACCAATTCAACCCTAAAACATCACATGGCCGGCCATCCCCTTAAGCTTTCTACCTTCCCTATCTTTTCCCACTTTACTACCCCAATTAAGCTAGCTAATTGATTCTATAACCATCCATTTATTCCCTTTATGTTTAATTAGCAAATTTATCATAATAAATTGGCTAATTAAACCTAAATTAAACCTAAAAACCCTAGCCACCTCCTATCCCTATAAATATACTCCCATTCTCACCAAAAAGCTAATTCCAAACCTCTTGCAAAAAAATCCCAAATATTCTAAACACTATTTCTCTCTAAAATTCTAACTTTGGCATCGGAGGTTCTTCGGCCAAAGCCCCCCCCATTCATCGTGGGCGCGTGAGGCTTTTGGCCTTAACCTAAAGTGCTAGTTGTTTTGTAGGTGCAAAATCGTCCGAGATCGAGGAGGAGAAAATTTGCATCCACAGAGAATACCCAGAGGCCGTAGAGAGAGATGAAAGGAAGAGTGTTTGAAGTTCTGGGTTTGGATTTGGGTTCCTACCAAATTATCAATATATATTTGAATGAGAGTTGTATAATATTTGGTTAAAAACTAAAGTTATTGGATAAACTGTTTGAAGATATATCAAAAACCTATTCAGAGTCGATTTCTCCCATAAGTACCAACCCATCCACAAAAATCAAGATATAAGTAATTCAAATTACAAAATTCCAAAAACTCTACCAGTACCCAAATTGCAGAATCCCATTGGTGTAAGAAAAATTCATTTTAAGCATCCAGATGAACGAACAGGAGTACCCAAAAACAGCAGAGAAACAAAAGGCACACGTTTCGTATGCAGGGGGTTTTGGTGTAAGAATGCACTGTCAAGAAAAAATGAAATTCACTCAATAATCAACTAAAATTCCATAACAATAATCAACTAAAATTCCATAAAAAAAGGAAATCAAGCTAAAATCGAAACGTTTGCTGTGCATACAAACATTGAATTCAAGGAGTTCAGCGATATATGTTTCGCGCTAGATAAAAATTATTTCCTAATTTAAAAAAAATTAAAAATTTGGAGGATTGTGTGAAAAATATAAAAACTTTACTCTCACAAATAGATGAAATCTGCCTTGCCTTTGGCCAACATATCTTTGGCTTCCGAGATGGACTATTAGGCACCGTTTGGTACGCAGACGGGACGAGACGGAACAAAATGGGACGGAACGGGATGGGAGGAAGGAACGGAACAAGGTTCCATGTTATGTTTGGTACGCGCAGGACGGAACGGGACGGTTGTTCTGTTCTGCGTTTGGTACACGTTGGACGGAACGGAACCAAAAGATTAAATGACTAACTTATTCATATTCTGTTTGTTGTTTGGTACAATATTTATGCGTGGGACGGGACAAGACATTTTTTTTTTTTTTGAACTTGTTCATATTTGAACACATAATAATACCATGATTAGCTTTTGGGGATTGAAGAAAAAGCAAAACGAAAAACAATGGCAGAGAATTTAGAGAAAGAAAGTGAATGACTAAAGATTGTATTCCTTGAACAATGAATGAATGACTAAAGATGGGACGAAGATGAAGATGAACCCCCGCGAACTCCCCAGAACGTGAGTCTGTGGTGGAGGGAGCGTTGAGGTCGAGGAAGATGCAGCTGGGTTTGAGGTGGAGGAGGAGGAGGAGGCTACAGGAGAGAGGGAGGCTACGGGAGAGACAAGGAGGGTAGACAGTGGAATATTTGTGTTCCACATACGTGGAACAACCCGTTCCAGGAGGGGAGGCGGGACGCAAAAACACCCAATTTCTGTCTCGTGGAACAGCGCGTTCCACCCATTTTTGGCATACCAAACGTGGGACGGAACGCCTCGTCCCGTTTCGTCCCGTCTCGTCCCACGTACCAAACGCACCCTTAAGCCTGAAATGTTAAGAGAGTGGGAATTAGTGGCGGATGGCGTCAAAAAATGAAGATAAATGAAATGGGTTTGAAAGGTTGCAGTCAATTTGGATTTCACGGGATTTTAATAGATTTTTTTTAAGTAATAGATTTCAAAGGATTTTAAAATATTCTCAATTTTATATGGATTTTGACAGATTTATATGGATTTCTATTATAGATTTGTATGGATTTGTATGGATTTCTTTCGTGAATTTCTTAGCATTTATTAGTTGAATCTTATAACATAAAATGAAATAATGCACAAGAAACATAAATGTTTTGAATCAAAGGAAATCCATTAACAATAAATTTGAAGTGTTAGCAAGCACAATCATGAACTCAAATACACAGAATAATAATGTAATCGCAGTAGCTAAGCAATCAGATGAAATTCCAAATTCCAAGTTTCAAACACTACCACAAAACCTTATATTAATAAAAAATTCATCATTACAAGTAATATTTTCTTCTTTCTTTTTTGCTTTCTCGAACGCAGCCACAAAACCTAACATTACAAGAAAATCATCAGAAATTCATCACTACCACACTAGAATTATTTGTGACTCATTATCCTCCATTCACATTGTTATCATTATGGGCATCTTTCCACATGTCCAAAGCTATATTATATATCCATTCATTAGCAATATTCCGTTATTGTTCTTGTGTTTGAAAATCTTGGTCAAGATCCCCTTCAAAAACTAATAATGGTGGAGACGAAGAAGATTCATTATCTAGTTCAACAGGAAACTCATTTGATCTGCACTCCTTGCGAAGAAAATTGTACACTTATGCACAAGCTAATACTACATATGTTTGTGTTGCATATGAAAATGGAGGTGCAATCCTTAAAATCGGGAATCGTGATTTTAAAATACCAAATATCCTCTCGACGACATTTCTTAAAGAAGCATTACGAAGATTGAACAACACTTTTTCGTTTCTAGGCTCACAACCCTAACCACTATACTCTTGGAGATGATATCGGATTCCTCAATAAGGAGCTAAGAACTGACGTCAATTTGGAAATCCACAATCTACTATGAAAAATTTACCTGATAATATATATTTTAGTATGCAACTCAATGGAATAATGAGAAATTAAATAATAAAAAAAATGATAAATAATAATTTGATACCTTGTGGCACTTTAAGTCCATTCCTTCTTGTCAAATCATCATTTAGTACTCTTGAATCATGAGTCAATCCTTCCCATCCACTAAGGACGTACATGAATTCCAAATCAAAGTTACAAGCAGTTAATACATTTTGTGATATGACACGCTTACGATTACAATAACTGCTTACATCACATCCGGACATTGATACTGGGATATGTATGCCATCAATAGCTCCAATATAATCCTAAAAGAGTGTTAAGTTTATCATTTGGAATAAATTAGAACGATACAAAATAAAAAATAAAAAATAAGACAACTATACGTACCTTCAAGGGTAAAGTCTCGTACTTTCCCTTATTTTACATGGCACTGCTAATCCATGTTTGGCCATCATCTTCGGTGCTATTGTGTACAAGGCCTTCAAGACTTTGTTAAAATTTCTACTGACAGTCCAATGTGATCGGCCAAACGTATCACGTAGTAGACAATATCTACTATTGTGTCCAACAATACACAAAAATGTTGCAAGCATTTCTTCTATGCAAATGAATCTTGTATCTCGTAAGAGTGTTTTTTCTCTAATAATAATGCATAACTTCACAAACACATCACGATACATTCTATACCTTTGCCGGAAATCCTTTGGGCCGTCTCTTTCAATACTTTATGTATATAATTGTATCATTCCATAGTAATTGATCTTCGATTTAAAGGACGTTCAATAGGTTGTCCAAATGTAATTATAAACTCTTTTAGCACGTGGACTACAGCTTGAATTGCCATCAATAAATATTTAATGGTTTCATAAAGTTCTTCCTCAATTTCTTCTTCATTAGTTTCTTCTTCTTCTTCTTCAATTTGTTCTTCCACCATTTGCTCCACTTCCATTTCTTCGTCCACTTCATCCACTTCCATTTCTTCCCCACCTTCCACTTCCATGCTTGTTTGAGACATTACATAAACTACCCAATCAAATAAACAAAACCACAAATAAGTTAACAACCAGAAAACCATACATATAATATCAATTATAAGATAAATTAAGAAATATAGATAATTCAATTACTTGACAGCTTTGCATTTAAATGTAACTGTAGATAATTCAGTTTAGATATGTTTCACTTTGTGTAGGACTCATCCTTTGTAATCTAGCAAAACTACATTTTCAAATAAAATTATAAATAAGCAGTTATTCACGCCTTGTTTATGATCATCAGTGGTTCTAATTTTTGCACATTTTATTCTAACGAGTATTCTGCTGCATCGGCTTAAGCCATGGGCAGGAGGCAACTGGCTTTCTCTTTGCCTTTTTACCTCCAAACAAGGGGATTCATCGAAGGACCTTCAGCAGTCTACTACTTTCTATGTGAGGCAAAATAGCCAATGCAACATATACCGTGAATATCAGTGAAGAAAGAAAGTCTTCCACAAATTCTCATTTTGATAACATCGTTCCTTTATCTCTGCACTACATTTTCTACACATACATTATCCGTTTTAGCATCGAAAAGTTCTTCTAATTGAAAACAATTCATTCCGAACTGATAAATACTGATACTCTACATTCATGAAGGAACAAAAAGTGTTTGATATTCTACGAGACAAAGCAATTCAATAGCATTCCCAAATCACATTTTCTCCAGCTTTTTACAATACCAACTTCGTCATGAATAAGCAAATCTAAATGATAGAAGCATCGTTTTGGACGTCTTGAGCAATCAAATACCAAAACATTTGTAATTAGACAGCGGTAACTACACAAGCAGAAAACTACCTGAAATCTCACTCACATTATCATTTTGTTAACGAAAAAAATCGATGCAAAGAGAAAAAAAAATATACCCAATTAGTCCAATTACATAACCCACATTCATTCTCCAACTAGCAACTGTGAGTTATTAGTTGGGAGGGTTAAATAGGTCTATCTGTTCGATTTGGAGGTCGGATCCCCTCCCAGTTATCTAAACTATCTCCCATCCATATCTGAAGAGTGATCCTACCAGCACCAGCAAATCCACCAACCCGAAATCGAAAGCTCCCCAAAATTTGCGAACTGAAGTGAAAGCTAACAGACCTTGGTACTGAATTTGATCATGGTATTGAAATATTTGCTTTATTAGCACTGAATTCCAATTGGTTTCTTGTTATGGTTGAAATTTCAATATTTATATGGGTTCCTGAACTTTCTCGGCAAACAAACAGAATGCAAAGAATAATCCAAGTAGATGAGAAATGGGTAAGAAAAACGTACTCGCATGTGTGGATTCAGGATGATGTAGATGCCCTTTCACCCTCCTTCTCTATCTTCAGTATGCGAGGCTCTTCCTCTTCTGTTGTCTGGCGTGAAAGAAATCAGAGGGGGGAGGGCTGGATTGTTGATAGCATTTGGTATTTATATTACCCACCTTCAAATCCATCAAAATCCTTCACTCCTTAAAATCTTAGTAAATATTTATTATTCTCACTACACCTAGATTTGGATGGATTTTTTTTAAAACGTAATTAACTACCCATGGATTTGAATGTATTCTTTAAAATCCTGCTAAATCCTAACTTGACTATATCCTAATTTCAAAGTCATTTAAAATACTTTTTAAAATTTTAATTAACTACACTCAGATTTTAAAATCTATTAAAATCCTACAAAATCTTAATTTGACTACACCCCTTAATTTCTGGGTTTAGAAAGCTTTACAATCGAAAGGTTAGGGAGCTAGGGTGAGGGAGAAGGCGAGGAGTTTAGCGCAGGAGGGGAGAGCGAGTGAGAGGCTGGTTGAAAATTAGGGCTGGGTAAACTTTGTATTTAAATGAGGAGTAACGCTATTCATACCATATTTTTTTACCACATTTTCATACCACTTTAGATGGCATTTGATGTGGACAAACACATCATTTGAATTAATCATATTTTTTAATTTAGTTCATTATTTAATAAACTAATAATTAAGAAAAACTAGTTAATTAAATTATGATTATGGTATACGAGGAGTCTTTCTTCTTTCTTTCCTTGGGTTTTGCAATTTTTTTCAAATAATTTGGTTATCCACATCAAATGCCATTTAAGATGATATAAAAATATGGTATGAATACCATTACTCTTAAACAAGGGGTGAAGTATTGTAGAATAGCATTATTAAATGAAAATAAAAATATCTTTGACAGAAAAAAGGAGAAGAAAACTGAAAAAGAAGATAAAAAAAATCAACTCCCAAAGTTTGAAAAACATATAACAAGTCTTTGGTGTCAAAAATTTTATAGTTTGACACCAATGAATGGTGTTATAAAGGTTAAAGCCACCAATGATTGGTGTTACAAAAGTTTAAGAAATCAAATTTTAACAATCGTGACAGTCCAATTTACAAAGCCACTGATGAAGAAGGGTGTCCTCAAAGCGGTGCCCTATAGCACATTTTCTAGTACTGTAATTCTCATTGATTGAAAGCCCTAGTAGTGTAACACTTGAGATTAAAAAACAAAAAATCGCTCAACAAGCACCAGAGATGGGCTCGAGTTGTTCTGGGGGACGAGTGAAAATTAGGCCTAGTTTGATATTGTTGTACTTACAAAAAAATGCTTATGTTGTGGGTTGTGAAAATAAATAGCTGTAAAATAATGCAAATGAGTGTTTGATAAACATCTATATAAAACTGAAGTGATTATGTCAAATGACTAAAAATAATATGATTTTAGATGTAATATAATAATTTATTTTGCGTTTTATTTGTGGTTTATTTTTTTTATTTAATCTCTCTCTAGAACACTTCTCTCCCTCATCAATGAGATGTGATAGCTTCACATCATCATCGAAGGTAAGTCCATAATAGTGGTTTTGAATTTGACAATGGTTGTTGATTTGGGAGAAGATATGAAATCCCGTCCTCAGAATTTCACTATTCATTATGTATCTCGTAATTTAAGTTCGTATTTCATGTTTACGTTATTTTTATTACTTAATTTTAATTCTGTAAATTTTGGGAATTAAATTGAATAGTTATCGGGTTTGAATTTTTGAAATCAATCTTTATCTTTTGTTGACTTATCAAAGTTTTAACTGGTGTTTTTAAATAGATCTCGAACCCACGAACGCATAGGCGAAAGCCGTTTACGAGTCCAAATTATAACGGTATAGTTACGGACGTTTGAAGTTGTGAAACTTTAGGTAGTGGAAATTATTTAATTTCCATTGGAGGATTAAAGGCCCAATAAATATATGATTGGGTTAAGGGGCACGTGATGGGGGGATGAAAAAGGACAAATAGGGGGGAGGGTGGACATTTTTTCTTTCCCCATTTCTAGAACCGTGTACTCTATACTCCATTTGTTATTTGGCAAAACCGGCCAACTTCATGCAAATTTCTACCATTTGTTAACTGATTTTCTTATCTTCTTTACCTGCAACCTGCTCAACTACCTTCCTCCTTCCACCTTCACAAAAAATCAAGGATTTTTAAGGTCTATTTCATGTAGAACTTCATAGGAGAACCCGGGGGTTCTCGACGACGAATTGTCATTCCGAAGAGTATCACCATTCACCATCATCCTTGATCAACTTCTCTTAGACCCAAGAACAAGAACCAATCAATTGTAGGGGCGTTGGAACACCAAGGAAGCCGAATTGAAGAACACCCACCTTAGGGTTTTCGAATGATGCGAGCTAATCTGAGGGCCTTCCCAACCAAATTGGACTTGTCCACAGGTATAAAGCTTACTCTACTTGTTGAGATCTTTATTCCTGTAAAATTTGAGAATTTTTGGAAAAAGTCGAATTTCCTGGTGTGTGACATCTGATTTATGAAATGCTGATGGTTAACATTATGTATGTATAGCCTTATTTGAAAATTACCCATTTATCATGTTGCAATTGTTACTTTAAAGTTAGTGAATGCATTAATGTAATGTTGATGATGGGGAATCGACAATTATATTGTCCCAACTTCATAATTGGTACAATTTTGCTAGAGTTGTTAGTATACATTTAGTCAGACGTGGTCCAAATTTTATCCTTGTGATGACAGTGAATAGTCATTGTTGATGAGCATATTGATTCCATCTCATTGGTTTAGCATTATCAGACCTTTCTGCTTATGTTTGAAGTTGAACGAATCCTTATATGTATGTATAAATTAATGAAGGGATGAATTTGTTTCCTTATCTACCGTATACATATATCTATATATGCATATTCAAAGGAACTTACTTATATCCCTGGATATATATACATATATATATATACATATATATATATATACATATATATATATATATATATATATATATGCACCAACTGCCAAGGCTTTTATGTACACGTACATCTATATTTGTAGGTAGCATCTTCACTTATTTTCTCTAAGTGTTTTCATTCAAATGTTACATTTATTTTGATCATGTTAATTCAAGTTAACCAAAATAGTATTTGGATCTCATAGTGTGAATTAGTAGTTCCAAGTAATCTAATTAAGACTAAAGTCAGAAGTGATGCATTTAGTAATTGCATATACTTGAGAATAGGAGTTGATCGAGGTGATGGATGCTTGTAGTAATAATTCGAAACAATGCTTTGGAGCCTAGATGGGAAATACATAAATGGATGGTGTATGTGCTCATGTTGTAAATCATAAGTGTGGAGGTAAGAGGTAAGTTGTGTGTTGGTTTGATAGCACCATTTCCATGATGTAGGCACTTATTTCACATGCGACAGGTCTGGGTAAATTATGAGAAACCGTTTGATATTTTGATTCCGTTAAGTAGTCCAGAATCCTTGCTCTTGCTCATTTCATAAGGTTATCTTAGAATCCTAGATTCGTGTCAATGGGAATTACCCACGATGGATCTTGTGAATACAAATTAGAATTACCATGTTATTATCCATAACCCAAGTAGGAAATTATGTAGAGTTCTTTAATTAAATTCGTGAAATGATATGCTATCTCACCGATTGATTAATGTGATTAAATATTAATATTGTGCTTCATGATTCCTTGATATGTTACAAGCTATGGATTGAGATATAATGTTGGAAGCATAGTGATTGGTATGATGTAGTGAAATGTGATTTGACTTGTGTATTGGAAATGGTTGTGACATGTGATTGAAATGCATATTGAATTGCTTGGGAGATATGAGGTATAGTAATGGACCGATAACGCATTGTGATGGGGATTTGTTGCTTGATATTGTTTCGTTTCATTGAGTCTTTGTGAATTGAGTAACTTGAATCATGTCTTATTCTTTCGAGCCGTTGTTATGCTTCCTGGACTTTTGTTCATTTCTGTTAAGTAGTCCAGAACTAAGTTCTGATTGGATTCTGTTGAGTGATGGTCCGAAATCCCTTCTACTTCGCGATTCCGTTGAGTGATGGTCCGGAATCGTATCCTGATTGGATTTAGTTGAGTGATGGTCCGGAATCATATCCTGATTGGATTCCGTTGAGTGATGATTTGGAATTCCCTTTGGTGCCTTGGTTTCGTTGGGTGGTCCAAAATTCCCTTTTTCATAGATGTAGTCTTCGGCCGAGCTGTGGCGCTCTAGGCCGCATTTTGACGTGTTGTATGTGTTATTGATGATGTGATGGTTGGCATTATTGATGGATGTGATTATGGAATGATATTGGTTATGGTAATAATGATTAGACTCGTTGAACTTTATGATTAGTGAATATGATTGTGCTCCATCGTTTGTCCCTTGTAATGTTGCATGTTATGCATTGTGATTTATTTTTGAGACATAACGATTTAATTGATGAATATTCGAGTGTAGTGAAATGACGAACTGCGAATGGCTTGATCCCTAATTAGGGTACGTAGGCAGTCTAACAAGGAGGTTAGATGCATCCATAAAGTATATGAAAAACTACTATGTGATTCGATTCTCGAGTTGTGCTTTGTACATATCCTGGAGGCGGGGTATGTTAGATATACGGGTATTGGTGTCGTCGCGTGTCGATCCTAGACATATGTTGGGATCAGGATGTGACAGAAGATGTATGGGGTGGATTTGGAAAGAGGTTGGTATCGAATAATTTATAAATTTTGATGTGGTAGGAGGTGTAAGTTTGAATTAGGAATGAAGTTCCAAGTTGGGGAGTGGGTTTGGGGCAATGAGTTGGGAATGGGTTTGGGGTCTAGAATTGGGTGTAAGAGAGGTAAATTCCACGAAAGAGACTTTTCAGGAGATTGTCTTCTGCTCTAGGTGTCTAATTGCTTACCTCTGACCACAAAGCATCCAAATGAAGAAGCATGTGTCGTTGTGAAGCAATGAAATGGGACGCGACCAGAGCAAGGAATAGAATGAGGGCAGGATCGGCAATTACAAAAATTAGTTAAACATTATTGTTCACCCGTGTTTTTAGATGAAAAGCCGGTTTTTGAAAGCAGCAAATAGATGCTTCTCCTTTTAAATTATTTCTCGCCGTGATTTGAAAATAAGGGATATTTGGCTTAATTACAAACACAATTTTG